GGGGGAAGCCATTGTAATCCATAAATCGTATTTTGGAAATTTATATTCATTAAATAAAAGTTAAAAAAAGAACATATCCACATAAAAAAAAAGAATTGATAAGGAGAGAATGATCCAATATGGGAAGTGGGATACAGAGCAGACTCATAGAATGGCAGATGTCTGAAACAGCACTCTGGCCTCAGAATCAGCCATTAAGGCATTTGGATCTGTCTGAAGAGTCCATGAGAGTATTTTGGGCATGGAAAGCCAAGACACCCTGAAAAAAAAGAACTAAATCAAAGATCTCTTTGAGCGAGATCCCAGTGGAAAGAACGGGCCATCAAAGAAGGAGGTACCTTTCTCTGAAGGGAGGAGAGAACTTCCACTTTGATTATGGCCTTGTCTAAATAAGATTAGAATCTGTGAACTCAAGAGGCTTCCATAGCCTTGGCAGCTCATGAGAAGGGCCTTGGGTGATTACTAACATCATAAATAAGAGTGTCAATTGTTAAATCAGCAACGGGAGTCACTGTGCATTTACTTCCCATGTAAGATCTCTGTCCTTCACTATGAGAAACAGTGACTTGATCAGCTCTTGTCCTGACTGTTGATGTACAATGTAATACTTTATCCATTTTAGTAGTTTTTCTTTGTTTTGTTCTAGTAATATTGGTTGAACTCTGTAATTAACACACAATTATTCTTAGATGTTTAAATTTTAACTGAAAACCGATCCCTGTTAAATGTAAGAGTGGGAATAAGAGAGGGAGGAGATGTACAATTTGGGACATACTCAATCGGACTTTCCCCAAATGGTGGAATTAGAAACGTGCCAGGGGATCCCAATACAATCCCATCAAGGTGGTATGTACCAATGCCATCTCACTAGTCCAAGTGATCAATTTCAGTTCACAATTGATCACACTGATAAGGTCTAAGAGTCAGAGGGATCACACAAACAAGACTAGTGTCTGCTAATACTAACTGATAGAATCAAAAAGGGAGAGAACGATCCATCATGGGAAGTGCAATACACAGCAGACTCAAAAAATGGCAGATGTCTGAAACAGCACTCTGGCCTCAGAATCAGCCCTTAAGGCATTCGGATATGGCTGAAGAGCCCATGAGAGTATTTTAGGCATGGAAAGCCAAGACACCCTGCGGGGGAAAAAAAAAAAAAAAGAAGACCTGACTGAATCTCTGTGAGTGAGATCCCAGTGGAAAGAACGGGGCCATCAAAGAAGGAGGTACCTTTCTCAGAAGGGAGGAGAGAACTTCCACTTTGACTATGACCCTGTCAGAATAAGATCAAAGTCGGCGAACTCCAAAGACTTCCATAGCCATGGCAACTCATGACTAGAGCCTAGGGAGATTACTGACACCATAAACACGAGTGTCAAATTGTTAAGTCAACAACAGGAGTCACTGTGTACTTACTCCTCATGTCGGATCTGTCCTTAATGTGTGGTCCAATGTGAAGTAATGCTATAACTAGTACTGAAACAGTATTTTACACTTTGTGTTTCTGTGTGTGTGCAAACTGATGAAATCTTTACTTAATATATACTAAATCGATCTTCTGTATATAAAGATAATTTAAAATGAATCTTGATGTGAATGGAATGGGAGAGGGAGCAGGAGATGGGAGGGGTGTGAGTGGGAGGGAAATTAATGGGGGGAAGCCATTGTAATCCATTAACTGTACTTTGGGAATATATATTTACTAAATAAAATATATTAAATTTAAAAAAAAATTAAAAGAGATCTCTGTCCTTAATGTTTTCGCTATGCAAATTAATGGTAAAACTAGTATTCCCATAGTATTTTATACTGTGTGTGTCTATGTAGGTGCAATCTGTTGAAATCTCTGCTTAATATATACTAAGTTGATCTTATGTATATGAAGATAATTGAAAATGAATCTCAATGTAGAATTGGGGGGGCGGTGCTGTGGCACAGAAGTTTAATGCCCTGGCCTGAAGCACCGGCATCCCATATGGGCACCTGTTCAAGACCCAGCTGCCTCACTTCCGATCCAGCTCTCTACTATGGCCTGGGAAAGCAGTAGAAGATGGCCCATGTCCATGGGCTCCTGCACCCGTGTGGGAGACCTAGAGGAAGCTGCTGGCTCCTGGCTTTGGATCAGTATACCTCTGGCCATTGCAGCCATTGGAGAGTGAACCATCAGATGCAAGACCTCTCTCTCTTTCTCTCTCTCTCTCTCTCCTCTCTCTCTCTCCTCTCTCTGTGTAACTCTGACTCTCAAATAAATAAATAAGTATTTCAAAAAATGAAGAATGGGATGGGAAAAGGAGTAGGAAATTGGACGGTTTGCAGGTGGGAGGGTGGTTAAGGGGGGGGACTGCTATAATCCAAAAGTTGTACTGTTGAAATTAAATAAAAGTTTTCCAGGAAAAAAAGCTAATGAATAGAGATAGAAGTGGTACAGAAAGAGATGGCAACCCAAATGCATATATATAAATACCAAATGTGTTCCTTCATATATTCTAAAATGTTAGGTATATATAACCAGAATAATTATCATATTTTGGTACACTATAATTCAAGAGATTATGATTGACACATTCATCTTTGTAGAGACCATACATATTTGCCTTTGTCACTTTTTTCCATTCAAATTTCAACCACCTCTTTATGGAGGATCTCAGCCAATGGCCATTATTTCATATTGTGTTTCCGTAGTGGGGCAATCCTAGGGAACTTTTCAAGTGTTTTCCATAACAACAGAGGTTGAATTCCTAATGCATAGTTAGTTCCTAAGTAGTGGAACCCTCACACCCCAAATTCAGAATCCTAGAAATGGATTAAACATGAACATGTCCATGTGACTATATGTGTTCATGTGAACAATGTGATACCATTCATTTCTCTGTTGGCCTATATATTTTTGAGTAGTTACCCCAAGTATTATGCCTACAATATGCTATCATTAGAATATTTTATATAGAATTTAAAGCTCCAGCTCAGACAAGGATGACAGCTTGCTAAAAACATTATCAGGCATACCTGTTGCCTGAATCATTGCCATGTTAGAGAGATGTTGGATGAAGTCCAGGAGGCATGAGGCTCAGCTGTCTACCTCCACAAATTCTAGACCCTTCATCTCTCAGTTACATGGTGGCCCTTGGAAGTAGGCCCCTTCCCCACCACTGTTGCTACCTACCATTCAAAGATTCCTCTAGAATTCCACAAAAAATCACATTCTTACCCACTACCTACATGACCCCTTTTTCTTCCTGATCTGATGAAACTGTCAACCATGTGTCTTCTGTTCTATGACATGTTATTTCTTCAATTTCTAATTCTTCATGCATTTATTAAGTACTTTTCTCCTTTCTTTTTAAGTTGGTGTGTGAGTCTTGTAGAATGGAGGCCTATTTGTGAATGAGTGTAATTGGTTGCTACCAGATATATCATAGGTAAGGGGTACAACCTTGAAGGGAATGATCATGATGGGGAAACTAAACTCAATAAATTTAAGCAAGGAAGTGAAAGATATACAAACTAAAATCTTCATAAGATAAATGGATATACACACAAATAAATGCAAAGAAATATGATATTGTGTATTATAAGTATTAATAGTCTTAAAATATACATAATATCAAAAGGCATATAATAACTTAGCGCAAATCCTGTCAAAATCCCCATGTCATTTTTCACAGAAGTAGAAAAGAACAAAGGTTACCAAGGCTGGGAGTTTCAATGCTCAGGAGAAGTTAGAGGAATAAAATTTCATTTAGACAAGACCAATGAGTTCAAGTGATGTGTTGCACATCATGGGGAGCCTGGGAACAGCATGCAGTTTACTTGCAAAAATGCTGAGGCACTTGACTTTAACGTGGTCAACCCAAAAAAATGAAGAGGATGTGAGGTAAAACACATGGCAAAGAGCCAGATGAATGCATCCACAATGTGTACAGCTATCAACACATTCACTCAGATCCATAAATCAAGATGATTTAAAGTTAACAATTAAACAGGTAAGGAGATTATTAATTAAAAAGGTAAAGGAATCTGGTTGAGAATGTTTCCTGTAAAAAGTGAGAGAAAATAGACAGCCTTAGAAATCCATGTTTGATACAGAACAGAATTCCTTTCACTTGTCACATGGAAACCATACCAATGCTAAAGGCTTGTTAAATGGGGAGAACCTCAGGGAGGTGGGTAACTGGATTAATTGTGTGGAGGGCTATACATGGTGAGAGAATTGGTACCCTTTTCTGAATATGCCTGCTCAGTCTTAATCATGAAGCCAATGTTCTCAGCAGAGTTTTGCAAACTTGAAAATGATATTAGACACAGCAATGAAGAGACTGGGTAGGGAACACAGAGTCATCAATGATAGACATCAGCCCTTGACTTCTTTCCAACTCATATGTGGAATGATGCAACTGGATGTTTTGTTGATCCTAGCATCAACTCTTTCTAAACTTGCCAAACACACCAAGAAGTCCACTGGAGTAATTCTTAGCCCTTTGTGCACTGTCCAATCATTAGGTGGTCCCCAGTGCCTTGTTGGACCATGATGAAATCATACAAGGAGGAGAGGAATGAGAATCCAAAACATGTTTTTCCAACGTGTTTTCCCTGAGAATGGAGAGTAACAGGTGCAGAGGCCCAGGACAGGGTGATCCCTTGAGTTTCTGTATGGGACACAGTGAAGCAAAGAAAAGGCTGAGCTGCCAGTGCTGTGCTGATCACATGGACACCGGTGTCTCACTGCATGGAGTTCTTTAGAAATGACTCCCTGTAGTTTCCAGTTGTGCCCCTTTCTGACTCACTAGACCGGCAGACAGCAATACTGGGATTCAGCAGTGCCCTGCACAGAGAGCAGTTCTCTGCAGGGGATTAAGCCTGCCGACACCTGCCAGCTCCTTGTTCCTTAATCTCAGCTGACATTTTGGACTTCATCTCTGAATTGTGAAAACCCTGGCAAGATGTTGTCTGTGAGTGTTCTGTGCCTACTCCTGCACACTATACACACCTCACAGGGCATGACTCACTGGGAATGCAATAATTACCTTAAGCCAAGTATCAACCAAGATGGAGACCTGATCCTGGGTGGTTTTCTCCATCTCTACTACCCAGAACCAGAAAGCAAAAAGGTCCAGATGTCTTTTTTACACGGTCCCCAGTATAAAACTGTTGTGTCTTGGTAAGTTCAAGATTGTGTGTACGCATTAAGTGTGGCTACCATTGAGTGTGAGTGTGTGCTACTACTGTGTTTAATCCTTTCTGAGAATGCTAGAAGGTATGAAGAAAGTGCCAAAATGCCAATAAAGGAAGTTGCAGGTTCACTCCATTCTTGTACCTTCCATGCCTTGCTGTTCATTTTTCTATTTGCTTCTTGGTCCTTCAGGGACAGAGAAGTGACATCAATGATTACCTGCCCACTCCATTGGCTTAGATCTCTCAAATACAGCCCTCAGCATCTTGGAATGAGACAGAATGTGGGGACTCCAATCCTACCTGCATGCATGGAGTAAGCACAGGTGTCCTGAGGCACTGAGACCCTAGTCTGGGGTCAGTGTTAAAATTAAGGGGTCACTCTGATTGCCAGTGCTGAAAAGAGCATTGTCACTATTGTACCCAATAGTGAATCCATGTGTATCTAAGATGTGCCACCTTAAACAGACTTTGTCCCACCGCACATCATTAACTGAGCCCCTTCAGACTGCAGGCTTCAGTCCCTGAATGTAGCAAGATTAAAGGGATTTATCTTCCCCAAGACATTCACTTGGATCCTGAAGGTTCTTCTCCAGGAACCACACAGAAACTGCATTAATTCTGGGCTTGACGCACCTGTGCAGCATGCGTTTTAGTAACTGTTAACATGGATGCCTGAAGAGGATTAGAAACAAGACATCCTGTCTCTGCACCCTTGTTGGTGGTGACAGTGGAGTGTGCTTCTGACTCACTGCAGAGAACCACATGCTCATGTGTTCAGAAGAGAGTGAGGCAGAGAGATGTTGGTTTAAATGGAGCATGTCTGTTCTTATCAGCACTTTTGGAATTTAATGCTTATCAACTCAGCAGGTTGCCATGCACTATGGGCAACTGCTAATGGGCTGGCGACCTCTGAGGCACAGTGTTAAAACATGTAGTCTCTCCTAGTCGGTGCCTTCACAGTGTTCTGTCCCTTCTCAATGTTTCATTAAATTTCTTTGTGCATTTTTAATTTCTATATTATTAGTGAAAATGCCTAATGGGACATTTATGGTAAATACTTTATGCATGTGAATCTTCTGGTTATGTGGCAGCTACTGATTGTTTGTACTCTGTCAGATTTAGGGAGATAGGATGTGATTTTCTAAAGGTGAATTAATCTCTCATCTCAGGGACTCTGTGTGGGAGACAGTGAGGAGCTACTTTGTTCATGATCTCAGGGTGAAAGGTCAGCCCATGCCACAAACAGGAGGCCAGACTTTGCTCTCTGCCTCTCTTCCCCAGGTAGAAAAGTGTCTGGCCACCCTTATTTGTGCAGACCTTTAGCCCTCATGTGCTTGCCACACTCTAAAATTGCATTTGCTTCAATCTCCTTTAGTTAATATGGGCTCAGATGATTAATTTTTTGTGAAGTTTGACTTCAAGCTCCAGCTTCAATACTGTGATTGAACTTCCTTAAAGCTGATGGAAGTTATGTTGTTATTTGCCTGACAGGAGTTATTTTATGTGAATATCCCTCATTTGTTTACCCAATATTTGGCCATTGATTTGGCATTAATTTTGTGTGGCTGTAATACTCTAATGATCAGTTTTATTTAATAAACTGCATATTTCTCTGAGATGCTGGGGGTACATCATTAAATAACGAGATAAAGTCTTTTATCAAGATTTTTAAAAGAGTTACCAAATCATTGTTGATAAACATGTAGATGTTTATCACCTGCTCACAAATCCCTAACTCCTTTTCAGTGTCTCCACATCCTTCATTCCTTCTCTCCTACTGCATACCACCCCTCTGTCTTGTGTCTCTGAGGGTCAGCCTATTATGGCCCCCTCATGTGAATTGATTCATATCCTTTGTGGTCTTTTGTGACTGACAAATTGCAGTGCACCATGTTTCCTGTTTTATTTATGTTGTGGCTTGCAGCAACATTTAGTATACATTTCTCAAAATATCGTTTTTAAAATTAATTTTATTTATTTGAGAGTCAGAGTTACTCAGAGAGAGGAGAGGCAGACAGTGAGAGAGGTCTTCCATCCACTGTTTCACTCCCCAATTGGCCACAATGGCCGGAGCTGCACCCAGCTGAAGCCAGGAGCAAGGAGCTTCTTTCTGACCTTCCCACATGGGAGCAGGAGCCAAAGATTTAGGCCATCTTCTATTGCTTTCCCAGACTATAGCAGAGAGCTGGATCAGAAGTGGAGCAGCCAGGACTTGAACCAGTGCCCCTATGGGATGCTGGCATTGCAAGTGGCAGCTTTACCTGCTATGCCACAGTGCTGGCACCCAAAATATCACAATATCTAAGTCTGCCTTGGTGTCAGACATTCCTGTTTACTCAAAATAGTAACTCAACATGCCAGGTCCTGAAATTAACAACTGACAACTTTGCCTTCAGCAAAAAAGAATTAAGCTAGTCAACTTTCAGCTGACAGCAAGTGTTACAAATAACCCAAGGTGAACGCAGTATGCTCTTCACAGTGAAAAATTATTCTACTAAGGCCAAAAGATTAACAGAAAATGTTTATTCAATGAATTTATTTTGTAATTCAAACAAATAAATTTAAGCTATGGACACATGCCACTAGCATAAATTCTGTGCCAGGTCAACCTCAATTTTAAGAACTCCTCTATGTGATCTGAAAATCTCCTCAGATTAAGTGTGTATAGAATGTTGACTTATCAATAAGACAAAATTCAATTTCAAACTCCACATATAAGAACAACATGTACAACACTGTGTGACCCAATAATTGGCAATCAGAAAAAATAAAGCACTGCCAATTAGAAACTTTTTGAATATGTATTATAATATTGAGGAGATGAAGAAATGACAAACTATTAGTTAAGCCCAACACAGAAACATAATATTCAGTGCAGAGCAACTAAAGGAATGATTGGATGAATATATTAAGTCCCATGCAACTTATTAACAGGTATGAATATTCTTAGCATTCAAATTCTGGAAGAAATGTAATAAGTTATAAAAGTTCAAAAGAATTCCAAGGGAAGAAGAAAAAAAGAAACCCATAGTGAGAAAATAGACCATCCAATTTCTCATACACATGAAATGTGAGAGCTCTTAAATTCTAAGAAACTATTTTCACTCAGGATATATGCTGTGATTATAGAGTAAATTGAAATTATGTTGTAGCAAAGATGAATAGAAAAAAGAGAAAGGATGGAGGAACAATTGAAGGAGGGAAGTGTGGTTATCTTCTTAGGACTGTATCTGGAATATATACAATCATATCTCTTTGTATTAGTAACAAGTTTTTAAGAAGATATATAGAAAAAAGGATTGAACATACAAGTGTAAAATATGAAATGAAAAATGTGAATTCTATAGAGAAAAAATGGAAACTATGGAAACATCCTAAATTATCTGAGTTCAGGAGAAAAATGTTTACATTTCAAGGAAAACAAAATGTTAAATCTGATTTGAGCAAAGCAAAACATTAGAATAGGAAATTAAAGCAAGGACCAGGGACAAATGGCTCAGATGGACCTGGCTGAGGAGGAGAATGTTCTAAAACTTTAAACAACTGATGAGTCAGGTGGCATTCAGCCTACTCCAGAAATTACTGGAAACAGAAATGCTTGCTCCTAGGTGTTGTCCTTAGGTTGGGATGCACTGAAGCTTTCCTGAAGGGTTCATGAAGGTGAGTGTGATCATGGGCACAGTTTGCTTCAGAGGAGTCCAAGGGCCATTCTACAATCTTCTAGAGCCCTTGAAACCTCATTTGCATCTCCTTCTTTTTCCAAAGCTGAGGCACAACTGAGTGGAAGCCTGAGTCTGACTACTGCTGCTTCAGGGTGTGGCTGTGTTGTTGCTCTGAATTCCATGGTCTCACCCTTCTCCCCGATGCTGCCCCTCTCTTTAGGTGGCTGTGGAAGAACTACCAATACGTGCTGGCCTTCTTCTTTGCCATCCAGGAGATCAATAAGGACTCCCAGCTCCTCCCCAACCTGACCCTTGGTTTCAAATTCTTCAATGCCTTTGCCAGTGAACAGTACACCTTATTGAGCATAGTATATTGGTTGATTGGGATTAATGTGCCTTTCCCTAACTACACCTGCCATACACAAGGGAGACACATTGCTGTCATTGCTGGAACCACATCAGCATTGTCTGTTGAGTTTGGAACGCTTTTGGAGCTCTACAAAAACCCACAGGTAAATGAGCTGTGAATCTGGAGGGCAATAGTTAAATTTCCTCCAACACCATTCTCTCACCTCTGAAAAATGGAAATGGGGCAGCCGAGTATACATGCCACACCATGGTATAGGAGAGATCCCATGGATTTCCTAAGGATGTGAGATTATTAACAGGGGAAGGAGAAGGGAGAAAGGGAAATAGCAGGGCCTGTTGACAGCCTTCTTAATATTCCTGTCTAGGGCCTGTGTAACCATCTCCCACCTGCTGGAAGCATAGACTGTCTAATAGTCTCACCTCTACACTTCTTAATGTCCACAGCACACAGATGTTCCCCATCCAAGGACAGCACCATCTCAGGTGGCATCCAGAGACCTAGGACAGTTGGATATAGGGAATGCATCTGGGTTCCCTTTGGGAAAACAATGAGGGTAACAGACAGTGAAAAATATTTTTAAAAGACTTCTATATTTGTTTATCTAAAAGGCAAAGCAATGGAGAAAGATGGAAAGGCACATACACATACACATGGCATTGGAGTGGATCTCTTAACCACAGGTCACTCCCCAGATGCCCACAACAGCTAGATCTGAGCCAGCCAGCAGCCAGCAGCCAGGATTTCCCTCCTGTTATACCACATGGTATAAAGGGGCCTAGTACTTTTGTTATACATTGCTGACTCCTCCAGTACAACAGCAGGCAAGTAGATCAAAAGCAGATTAACCAGGACTTGAACTGGCACTTAGAAGTGGGATGCTGGTATCATCATTGGTAGGCTAACACACAGTGCCACTATGCTGGCTCCACCATGGAGTGTTGAGACTCACATCCAGTTATACTGGAGCTCAATCGATCATGTTCCCAATGCTAATTAGTCACAATCACACAGGTTGATTTTTCTCAGGATTCCCAGTGGCCATGCCATCTACAACTGTGCATATCAGAACTGTGGACATGGGTTTATTCCAATCTTTGGGAGACAGGGAAGTAGCCAGGCAGACAAGGAGCTCTAGTATAAACAACTCAGCTGATTTGCTTACCAAATGTCTGACATGGTGTTGGGCTTAGTCTACCATTGCACATGTGTAGAACCAGGAAGTCATTCCACATGAATGCCATGACCCAGTGAGTTGAGTCATTATCACTGCCTCCCCAGGTCTGTGTCAGTAACTCAAAAATACTTCCCCAGGGACCCACTATACAAGCAACAATCAGAACATGTGCCTGTCAAACATAGGCCATATGGTGAGCAGAGGATTCTGGATTGGAAAAAATATTTTGTCCCAAATGAAAAAAGGTTGGTGATTATATTCTTGGAGACAATGCAGGTTTCCTGTGGTAATCAATGCACTCCAAATACCAAGAGATCAACACAGTAGAGATTTCTGTCTCAGAGTTATCTACAATGGTGGCTGCTGGAGGAGGTGGCTCTACTCCACCAGTCACCCTGGGCAAGGATGGGTGAAGCAGCATCCAAAGTTCCTTCTTCCTCAGGCCCCACTGCAGGACATGAAGAGCATACAGATACTGACAGATTTTCTTTAAAGCTATGAAGGAGGAGTCACATTTATTCACCTAAAGCAATGGGCATGTGAAGCATGGTCTTTTCTGTGGCCAGAGTAGCAAGATTTTTCATCTCTACTGCACTCTTTCTTTTCACACAATAGTAACCTACTTAAAGTTGACCTTGGGGAGAAATTCTTTTCACTCACTTCCAAGAGAGATAACACAAATCCTACAAAAGTTTGATTATGTTTTGCTTTGCTTTCAGCTCACCTATGGCCCTTTTGATCCCATGCTAAATGATAAAGATCAGTTTCCCTCACTCTATCAGATGGCAACCAGTGACAGCTCTTTGGGCCATGGAATGATCTACTTGTTGCTGCATTTTGGCTGGACTTGGGTGGTGCTCTTTGTGTCTGATGACATGAAAGGAGAGCAGTTCCTTCAGTACTTTGAAGCAGCAATGCTCAAGAAAGGTATCTGTGTGGCCTTTACAGTTAAGCTCCCTGTCACAAAGAAGTTGTGTGGGTATAGTGATCTCACTTTCATGAGTAGCATCAGAGTTTCATCTGCAAATGTGCATATACTCTATGGTGATGTAAGTGGTCTCATCAGTGTGGACATTTCAGTGCAGTCCTTTGTAACTGTCGGGAAAGTGTGGATCATGACATCAAAGTGGGATCTTGTTATGTCTGAGACAAACCACATGCTGCATTTTTTGCATGGAGGCTTCTCATTTTCACCCCACAAGGAAGAAATCCCAGGCCTCAAACATTTTGTCAAGACAGCAAACCCTTCCCACTACCCAGAAGACTTTTATTTCAGTAAATTATGGCTTTTCCATCTGCACTGCTCACTTGAAGGATCATTCTGTGGACATATTGGAAGCTGCCCACCAAATACCTCCTTAGAGTTTCTTCCAGGACATATTGACTTGCTGACCATATCTGACTCCAGCTATTTAGTTTACAATGCTGTCTACACAGTGGCCCACGTCCTCCATAAAATGATTTTGGAGAAAGTAGAAATGGGATCTCCAGGAGAAGCAATACAGCCTATGATTCTTCCCTGGCAGGTAAACCTCCCCTAAAACAGAATAGAAAGCTGCCACCTGACGGAATCTAGAGATGTTGTATTGAGATACAGCATCATGACCCTGCTATCTTCTCAAGGTCAGAGAGATTAGGTACATCAGAAGTTGGGTTCTTTCCATTAGTTATTGGTATATCTGTGATTGTTGGCTTTGGCTGGAAATTTCAATCTCTATGGATTTTGAATGGTTACTTTCTGAACAGAAATGGTATCAGAAAAGTTTGTAACATAGGCTGAAATGCTGCAACACATGAGAAAATTTAACAGATAAAAACTTGTCATGCCATAATATTCCTTGGAATTTATACAAAGCCAAAAAAAGACATATTGACAAATTATTTTTCATTTCTATAAATTTTTCATTTGTAAAATTTAACAATTTTGACATCCTGCCACATGTACATCAAAGGTACATATTTTATATATATCCATATCTACAGTTTTTTCTTGGAATAGGGATATTAATATCACAAGGAGAGTGATTGATGACAATGTTGCTAGTACAGGAAGATAAGGGTATATGTCCTATACACCGTATGCTTCAGTGAAACAACATACCAAATGCTAGGATACCGTCACAATGTTTATACTCTGTGTATTAACTTCCACAAATCAGAAAAACATATGATATTTGCCTTTCTGGGCCTGGAGTACTTCACTCAGCATAGTGATCTTCAGTTCCATGTATTTTGTTGCAAATATTGTTCAAATCTGACAGCAGTTTAATTTGATTTATAATCCTGCATAACCTGTGGCCTAAGCCCTGGATGAGATAAGATACTTTTTGTGAGAACAGAAATGGATTTCACATAATATCCTAAACAAGATAGGAAATGGATGGGAAATGAAGCATGTTAGACCAACTGTCCTTACAAACTCTGCAGCAATCAGGGAGCATGGACTGTAGTCCCATTTCTTACATATGAGACTACTGAGGATGCACATGAGCACAGGATTTGCCTGCTCAGTCAGCTGAATATTTCTGGGTTTAACCCTGGCTTACATGAATCCATTCCCCACATAGAGAATGTATTTAGGAAATTCTGTTTGCATGTGCAAGGACAAATACGCTCATAAATTTGTAGAATATAGTAAATAAGGGTGATGTGTAGAAAAAGTAAAATATTTGTAAAAATTAGCATCAGAACATTTACTTCATAATCAAATTGTATTTTATGCATTAGAAGTATGTTTTATAAACTACAGTATTAGAGTCAAACCTTGGGAAAGGAAATTAATTTTTCAAGAAGGCTTCCATAGATATAATTAATGAATTATTTGTAAATTTTGTCCTCTACATTATTTAAGAATTAAGTGGTAAACTTTCCCTTGACAATCAGGTCATGGAATCTTTGAGTCTTTTTTTTTTTTTGACAGGCAGAGTGGACAGTGAGAGAGAGAGAGACAGAGAGAAAGGTCTTCCTTGCCATTGGTTCACCCTCCAATGGCTGCCATGGCCAGTGCACTGCAGCCGGCGCACCACGCTGATCTGATGGCAGGAGCCAGGTGCTTCTCCTGGTCTCCCATGGGGTGCAGGGCCCAAGCACTTGGGCCATCCCCCACTGCACTCCCTGGCCATAGCAGAGAGCTGGCCTTGAAGAGGGGCAACCGGGACAGAATCTGGTGCCCCAACCGGGACTAGAACCTGGTGTGTCGGCGCCGCAAGGTGGAGGATTAGCCTAGTGAACCACGGCACTGGCCTAGGTCATGGACTCTTGAAGACATTGATTCTAAAAGTACATTGTTACTTTTTACCGTGTATATCCTCTTTATTTTGTTCTGTTGGGTTTTTTTCTCTGTTTTCTATCTCTCTCCCATTTCTCTTCTTCATACTGAACCCTCTAGGTAACACAGAGTTCTATTTATTTTAAGGCAATTGGGAAAAGATCCCAGATAAAAATAAGAGGGGGAATAAGAGATGGAGGAGGTAGTCTACAACTGTAAAACAGTCTAGTTCTGCATATAGTTATAAAGACTGAGCTCTAATGGTACAGCCTAAGAACTAGTCATGGTGCTCCAAAACCATAAGAATTGGTGGTACAAATGCCATCTTCACTGTTAAAATGGTCATATTAAATGTTAAAGGCAACAGAAAGATCAGTCTAAGTTTAAAAAGGATGATATAGCCGGCGCCGTGGCTCAATAGGCTAATCCTCCACCTTGCGGCGCCGGCACACCGGGTTCTAGTCCCGGTTGGGGCGCCGGATTCTGTCCCGGTTGCCCCTCTTCCAGGCCAGCTCTTTGCTATGGCCAGGGAGTGCAGTGGAGGATGGCCCAGGTGCTTGGGCCCTGCACCCCATGGGAGACCAGGAAAAGCACCTGGATCCTGGCTCCTGCCATCGGATCAGTGCGGTGCGCCGGCTGCAGCGGCGGCCATTGGAGGGTGAACCAACGGCAAAAGGAAGACCTTTCTCTGTCTGTCTCTCTCTCACACTGTCCACTCTGCCTGTCAAAAAAAAAAAAAAGGATGATATAATGATAAAAGTAACATCAAGTACCTGGGAAAATAATATAATTAAAAAAGGAAGGAAAGACCAACATGGGAAGTAGTCCACACAGCAGACTCCTAGAATAACATTTGCTATAAATAACACTCTAACCTCAGAATCAACCCTTAAGCCTTCCTTGTTGGGCTAAAAGGGCTGCGAGATCTTTTCAGGCATGGAAAGCCAAGACATTGTGACAAAAAAATATCCTACACAGAGGATCTCTGTGAGACCTCAGAGGACAGAGTCATCAAAGGAGACACTCTTCTCTGAAGGGAGGAGAGAACATCCACTTTGCTTATGGCCATGTCCAAATACCGATGGAATCTATGGTCAAAAAAAAGTCTTCCATAGCCTTGGGAACCCATGGCAAGAGCCTCAGATGATCGCTGATGTCATAAAAAGAGTGTTAATTATTAAAGGAACAACAGTAGTCACTGTGACTTGCTCCCCATGTAGGATCTCTGTCCCTAATGAATGTTAATATGAGAATTGACTGCAAATTCTCTCCCTAAACTGTACTCTATATGTTGTGTGTGTGCCTGGGCGCAAATTGTTGAAGTCTATGCTTAGCATGGTGTTGGTCCTCTGTTTATAAAGTCATACTAAAAATGAACCATAATGAAGAAGGAGATAGGAGAGGGAAAGGGAGGTGGGATGGTACCTGGGGTGGGGGGGCTATAGGGGAAAGAACCACTATATTCATAAAGTTGTATCTATGTAAAAATGTACTCATTAGCCGGTGCTGTGGCTCACTAGGCTAATCCTCCGCCTGCGGCACCGGCACTCTGGGTTCTAGTCCCAGTTGGGGCGCCGGATCTGCCCCAGGTGCTCCTCTTCCTGTCCAGCTCTCTGCTGTGGCCTGGGAAGGCAGTGGAGGATGGCCCAAGTGCTTGGGCCCTGCACCCACATAGGAGACCAGGAGGAAGCACCTGGGTGTCCTGGCTTTGGAGGGGCACAGCATGCTGGCCATAGTGGTCAATTGGGGGGGTGAACTAACAGATAGGAAGACTTTCTCTCTGTCTCTCTCTCTCACTGTCTAACTCTGCCTGTCAAAAAAATGCATTCATTAAATAAAAATTTAAAAATTAAAAACACAATTAGGTGATAGTTGTTTAAAAATAACAACTTAGTTGTATCCCAGTACAGATGTGTTGTGATCTAGAAGGTTCAAGGTTAACACATACTATAAAAGCATAATAAGCTTTCATAGATTTGAAATTTTGTCTTTGGTCATACCATACTATCTGATATGTCAAAGATAGTCACAGTCATCACAATAAGTGACCCAAAGCCAAAGAGAGAAAGAACACCATGTTGTGTCATGTTCAACCTGTGTTAAGGTATAAGTACACCTTAAAAGGTATAATGTATATTGCTGTTACACATAATATACATATCTTATAGATATGGACTTCTGAGGTATTACAGTGGCCTTGAGTCTCTTGATGGAAAATATATCTTATGAAACAATCTTGCATTAATCTCTAATTTTTCCCCAACCAAAATACACTAATCATCAACTATATTTTGAACCTTATGAAGAACTTATGTAGATACACACCTGTAATATTCAAAACAGCTATCAAGTTATTTCAGTAGCCATCCATGTGCTGCCCAACTGGTAACAGTAGAGTTAGCTTCCATAAAGCCCCAACCAATCATTCATGGCCAAATCTTCAATAGGGTCTGTGCTCCAGTAAAACTCTGGACCACTAACTATAGTTTTCTGATTGGGGACAATCACTCTTTGATGTTTTGTTGAGGGAGCAGAGGAATACCTTAACCCGGGAGATGTTTAAGCATCCAAAGAAAATTAATGTTCTACCAAATGGAAAAGCTGAATGCAAAAGACAACAAAGAGGGCTTGTTTAGAGCATCTGACTTCCCACAACTAATTTGGATGTGCTGTCTATTTCCAATTATGCCTGTCCTCCAGCTCCATCAATTTCTGAGGAAAATCCAATTTACAAACAGCGCTGGAGATAAAGTATCCTTCCATGAAACAAGAAACCACATGGCGCATTATGATATCCAGAGCGTTGTGAATTTTCCTAGTGGTCTTCGTTTGCTTACTAAAATTGGAGAGTTTTCCTCCAAGAGTCCACATGAACAAAGCTTACTTTTCAATGAAGAGATGATAGAATGGCCTGTCACATTCAAAGTGGTATGATACCCTTTTGATACGAGATACCCACAGAGAGATCTGCCAATAATCTTGTGAAGAGGTTAAGTGTGAAGTGATCATGTTCTTTTGTAATACATGGGAAATAGGTTGGGGAAACAGAAATGGCAATCGTAGGAATGCTGAAATGGATGTCTAGGTATTAGTCACAGGTACAGGAGGAGGGGATATAGTCGTGACCTTCAATTGAAGGCCAAGGTGTTATGTAGTGAGGAGGGATCTACTGACACCCTTCACGGTGGCTGATAACATACCAAACCATGACCAGTGCTTCTCTTTTTTCTTCAGACCCCTCAATCTGTGTGTAGCCAGAGCTGTGGTCCTGGATTCAGGAAAATGTCACAGGAAGGAAGACCTATCTGCTGCTATACTTGTGTTTTGTGTCCAGAGAAAGAAATTGCCAATCAGACAGGTAGAAAATTTCCAATCCATATCTTTACTGTTCTAGTTATTTCTCCACAAAAGAGAAACCAAAGAGATTTGCAGTTAGTTCCTAGTGCATCATTGTTCTCTATGCACACATTTACTCATTCATTCAATATATCCATTTATGATCACTAAAGATACTTTATGTTTAAGTTCTGCTCTGGTGATGCTCATTCTAGTAACGTCAACTGTAGCACTGATTCTAAAAGATATCACACCATGTTAGATAAGTCATCATCTGAGATTTGCAGGTGGAACTTGCTATATTTCCAACTGAGAAATGTAGGATGTGTAATCATCAAGGCTTTCTATTGGTGCCTGTAAATCTTGAAACCAATTCATCTTACAAACACATGATAAGCACAGAGCTAGTGCTTGTATGTCATCATGGAAATACTGTATTCCTCCCTGCACTGTCTTTAATATTTTCCACGGAATTAAGGATGTCTAGTACCACAGGTACATTTAGATTTATAGAATTTATTACAGGAAAGAGTCAAGGTGAAGTATGAATATCACATCCTACTAAAATATACAGTTTGGTATGCTCATAAAAACTTTTGAACAAGACAAACATAAAAATAATTACCTATCAAAATACATGTACCAGGCCAGCGCCGTGGCTCAATAGGCTAATCCTCCACCTAGCGGCACCGGCACACCAGGTTCTAGTCCAGGTCGGGGCGCCAGATTCTGTCCTGGTTGCCCCTCTTCCAGGCCAGCTCTCTGCTATGGCCTGGGAGTGCAGTTGATGATGGCCCAAGTGCTTGGGCCCTGCACCCCATGGGAGACCAGGAGAAGCACCTGGCTCCTGCCATCGGATCAGCATGGTGCACTGGCCACAGCGCGCCAGCCGTGGCGGCCATTGGAGGGTGAACCAATGGCAAAAGGAAGACCTTTCTCTCTGTCTCTCTCTCTCTCTCTCACTGTCCACTCTGCCTGCAAAAAAAAATACCAAGAATGTAAAAAATGTGCTATATCTCACTGAGAAATACTTCCATTTTTTTTAAAATATGGGAAATAGACCTTGTAATGATTTGATTTCCTCCAAAAAGGCTTCTCAATTCCTATTGTGTTAGCATTAGCAACCATTTGGCTTTAATCATTTCCTAGAGGAAATAAATAGTTTTGGCCATGAAGAAGATAACAGAACAAAGAGATACCCTGTGCACAAAGGTTTTGCAAAAATTCAATAACAAATAAAAAGAATTTAAAAACATATGCTGGAAGCATGTTGTACAACAACACTTTCTTGTATGTACAAACACTGTAGAAAGTATCTAAGATTGAAGCCAGAGCACCTGGTGTCCCCAAGAAGAGAAATGGGTGCTTCAAGATAAGAATGCCAGGAAGATTGACTCTAATTTACATTAGGATCTTGTATGGTTGAAGAAGTGTCATCTAAAAAGCTAATCAAACCCTCACAACAAGTGTAGCTAGACCCCAATACCATCTTCTGTATTTAACTGAAACAGAGATATGCCCATTCATTGACTTGTCTCTATGACTTATTTCTTGCTGCATTGGCAAGAAAATGTTATTTCAATAAATAGAGAAAATGTGGTGTCCAGAGTTGAATTTGTTCCCCACCTTCTACAAGAACAATGGAGTAACAAGTTATGATTTCATAGAATGAGTGAAAAGTTCCAATACAAAATAAAAAATTTCTCAGAGTTTCAGAATGATATACTGCTATAAATGATCTGTGATTTCTTTACATTTAGCATGTATAAGTGAAACAGGCACTTTTATTTGGGTATTGTTTATATCCATTTCCTACAATTCCCACTGATCTATAATCTTATTACTTTTTACTTTTTGAACTCTTGATTCAGTGGAGTTTTAAGACTTTGACTATAATGTAAATTAAAAATATGCTATTTCAAAAATTAAAAGAGGAAGGAATGAAGGAAGGAAGAAAAAGGAAGGAAAGACGAAGGGAAAAGAGAAAAAAGAAAGGAAGGGAGGTGGAATGGAGGAATAAATCATCTTAAAATTGTACCAGTGAATGGAATGGAATCTCTTCTGCTTCTATTAATATCACATTAACATGAGAATTGATGAGAATTGTGTTATACTAATTATCATGCACTTGCTATGACCCTGAGAATGCAATGTATTAATTCATTTTGAAATTATATTATATACTAACTTGAAAAATATCTAATTTCTCCATCAATAACTGGGTAAAATATCAATTACATCCAAATTTCTTTATTTTAAAAACACCTCTATTCAAATCCAAATGTTGCTTATTCAATAAAATGCACCTTAAGATTCCATTAAAAATTGACAAAAGGATTCCCAAGGAAATGAAAATATAAAATGAGGAAAGATTATTCTGCCAGATATCAAGCTAATAACTGTAGTATTGATCGCTGTAAGGTTATCTTAGGAGTTTGGGGTTGTTTATTTCTGTGTCGGAGCTACAGAGATACAGGATGTGACATGAGGCTGACTTAGGGGATAGAACAGAGAAAGGCTGGGAAGCATCCATGACCATGGGAACAGGAATGTGTCACAGGATAAGTCAACCTAGCCCCCATATGCTGAAGGTGTTGTTTGAATGAGTTTGTTCCAATCTGCAGATGGGACATCCTCCCTGGACAGCAATGCAGAAACTTGATCAGATGTACCCTGCTATATATCACAAGCTCCCAGCAGCATTGCAGTTGACCTATTTTCCACAACAGAAAGAAATTCAGAATTTCTACAAAGTAAACCTTCAGTATTTCTCCTTCCTCAGATGCAAAGCAGTGCATCCCATGTGAAGATCACGAATACCCAAACCAGGATAGAAGTCGCTGCCTCCCTAAGTTGATGACATTCTTGGCCTTTGAGGAATCTCTGGGGATGGCTCTGGCCTGCATGGCTCTGTGCTTCTCTGTCCTCACAGCTGCCGTCCTCTGGGTCTTTGTGAAGCACCAAGACACTCCCATCATCAAGGCCAATAACAGGCCCCTCAGCTACATCCTGCTCATCACCCTCCTCCTTTGCTTCCTCTGCTCCTTACTCTTCCTTGGCCGTCCCAACACAGCCACCTGCCTCCTCCGGCAAATAGCATTTGGCCTTGTGTCCACAGTGGCTGTTTCTACTGGGCTGGCCAAGACCATCACTGTGATTCTGGCCTTCAAGGTTACAAAACCTGGCAGACCTGTCAGGCGATTGTTGATATCAGGAGTTTCTAACTCTGTCATTCCCATCTGCTTCCTCCTCCAACTGATTCTCTGTAGCATCTGGTTGGGAACTTCTCCTCCCTTCATTGAGTTAGATACACACTCTGAGCCTGGCCACATCATCCTGGTGTGCAATAAGGGCTCGGTCACTGCCTTCTACTGTGTCCTTGGCTACCTGGGTTCCTTGGCCCTGGCCAGCTTCACTGTGGCTTTCCTAGCCAGGAATCTGCCTGACACGTTCAATGAAGCCAAGTTCCTGACGTTCAGCATGCTGGTGTTCTGCAGTGTCTGGGTGACCTTCCTGCCTGTCTACCACAGCACCAAGGGGAAGGTCATGGTAGCTGTGGAAGTCTTCTCCATCTTGGCCTCCAGTGCGGGGCTCCTGGGCTGCATCTTTGTCCCCAAGTGCTACGTTATTCTCATAAGACCTGAGATGAACTCTTTGAAAGGCTTAAAGGATAAAGGCAAGTTCTAAAGGATTCTCAAATTTTCCACTTGTTTTGCTATCACATATTCAGAGTTTAGAACCATGAATCCAGACTGAAGTAGCAATCCAGAAATAATGAAGGAACTAAAATTGATTTTTTTCCTTTAAAAAACTACTTATGTATTGGACATACAGCCTAGCATTCTGAGTGCATGGCATCGATTTCTGGCTCTGGCTTTGGCTCCTGACCTGGACTTCTGATTCCTGGGGACCCTGGAAGGCAGTGGTGAATCTTCACGTAACTTGGTCCTGTCCAACCATGTGAAAATCTAGGGTCTGACTGACTGTTGTTGGTTGTAGCCTCATCCCAGGCACAGGCATGGGGGTGTAGAGATGTGAGGCATTGAATGGGAGGTCTCTCTGTCTCTGTCACTAATCTTCTGTTTCTCTCCATCTCAGAGTAATGGGAGTTTAGAGAAAATTTTTATATCGAGTAAAAATAAATTATGGTGTAAATGCCCATCAAGGCTACAACAACAATGCTATTTTATATTAAAAGGCTATCACTGAAATAGTTGAGATGAATTAATTTCTATTTATTTATCAGTGTATAGACAATGTAAGTGCTCATATATGTGAGGACATCTAATTAAACATACCTTGCATTCTGTTTGCCCTGGCTACTGAGTGCTTGTCATTTCTTTGTTGACATTGTGATTTAAGTGAGATTTCTTTCCCAGATACAGGAGGTGATTGGTCATGCAGTGTTCCTCTGTTGAGATACTGTGTTGTCCAAAAATATCTTAATAAATACTCATTGTTGAACTATTTTGAAGTGGTGCTTTTATTACACATATATGGAATATCCACTTACACATGGCACTGAATCAGTAACTGTATGTTCTTCCGTCAATATAGTGGTTTTTATTTTTGTCTTTGCTTTAAGTTTTCTTTTTCCAATTGCACATGGGACACAATGCTGTTTGGATTAATGTGAAATTCTCATAGCTAAGATGAACCAATTTTAAACTGGACAAGTCAAAAGCATTTAAGTGCATGCATATTCATATTGAACATGCAGATTATGCACAGTATGTTCACACATTCAGGCAGTAGTCTTCTCTAAGTGGATTGAAGGGTTTTCATCACCCTATAAAAATTTCTTTATGTAATAAGAAGTCACTTTCAAACTCATATCATGCAACCAATCATCTCCATATGTTTTTATGAATTTACATTTTATGAATAATTCTGACAAGTGGCAACAGTCAATATGTGGCTTAGGAGTCTTGGTTCAAACCCATACACATTGCACCATCATCATTTATTCCTTTTTCAAACTGTATAATTTTCCATCTCACAGATTTTTACCATTCTTTTTTGCAATTTTATTGTTTCATTTTTCTGCTCAACCTAATATTTTATTTGTTATTTTTGAGATAGCATAGTTTTAGTTTGCATTTGACTCAAAAGCTTAAAGCTCCACTAAATAAAGCGTTCAACAAGTACAAGCAAGAAGACCATAGTTCTGCAGGAATATAGGCAGGGGCTATAAACAATAATCCAATGAAAAATGTTCAACTTCCCTCACATACAGCAAATTTTAAAATAGCCATAGAACATTCATAGTGTAGTAGTGTTTAGTTATTAATAATTTTTAAACAAAGTTTTAAAACAAAGTAAGGCAAAATACTATATTTGTAGCCAAAATGATATAAACAGACATATTTATTTCCTTTATTTTTCTTCACAACCAAAATGAATTTTTCTTAGATTTCCCCAGAACCCTTTTATCTAAGGTATCTAAACTTGACACATTTCATAAAAACAACTTTAGGAACGTTGTGATTTTTCCCACGCTACCTGTCCTTGCACCTACACTTCTACTCTTCTTCCTCCTTCCTCTCCTTTTCCCATTCTTATTTTACACTAAGATTTATTTTCAATTAACTTTATGCACCTAAGATTAATTCTATATTAAGTAAGAGTTCAACAAATAGTATGAAAAAAACAAACTGTTCCTCAACAATTGACACAAGGGCTGTCCAAAGTTATCAGATATCAAATTGCTATTTTAAATTTTCATCTTGTGACTATTTTAAAAATGTTAGGTACCACATTTAAGGGCGAATCTGTGGTATTTGTCTTTCTGTCTACCATATTTATTTTATCCAACAGCCCACAGCAGGACATTCATTTTCTTACACCTTGTTACAGGTATAAACTTCCATAGCGGCTTTATCAGCTTACATTCCCACCAACAGTGCATTAGGGTATGTTTTTCCCCACATCCTCACCAGCATTTCTTGTTTGTTGATTTCTGTATGAAAGCCATCCTAATTGGGGTGAGATGAATACTCATTGTGGTTTTGATTTGCATTTCTCCTACTGCTAGAGATCCTAAGCATGTTTTTCATGTGTCTCTTGGTCATTTGGATTTTCTCTTTTGAAAAATGCCTCTTTTGGCCTGCGCCATAGCTCACTAGGCTAATCCTCTGCCTGTGGCACCAGCACCCCGGGTTCTAATCCCAGTTGGGGTGCCTGACTCTGTCCCAGTTGCTCCTCTTCCAGTACAGCTCTCTGCTGTGGCCCGGGAGTGCAGTGGAGGATGGCCCAAGTCCTTGGGCCCTGAACCTGCATGGGAGACCAGGAGGAAGTACCTGGCTCCTGGATTCAGCTTCGGATCAGCGCAGTACACCAGCTGCAACATGCTGGCCACAGCGGCCACTTGAGGGGTGAACCAACAGAAAAAGGAAGACCTTTCTCTCTGCCTCTCTCTCTCGCTGTCTAACTCTGCCTGTCAGAAAAAAAAAAGAAAAAGAAAAAAAAATGCCTGTTTAAGACCTTTGCCCATTTCTTCACTGGATTGTTTTGTTGTTGTGGAGTTTCTTGAGTTCTTTATGTATTGTGGTTATTAATCTTTTATCAGTTGCATAGTTTGCAAATAATCTCTCCCATTCTGTCAGTTGTCTCTTCACTTTGCTGATTGTTTCTTTTGCCTGGCAGAAGCTTCTCAATTTGATGTAACCCCATTGATTTTGGCATTTATTGCAGGGCCCATGAATTTGAATTTTTGTGGTCAGCTCCTTGCATCTGTCTGAGGCTGTCATCCTGTTGTAGCAGGCATACCTCAAACTGTTTGTTGCTGAGTCATACTCAATGTGTGAACCAATGGCAATTTAAAATCCCATGTACCAGCTCATCAGTGCTTGAGTTCTTCTGGTCCTTCTTTGCTGAATCTAATTGGTGACAGGGTTGGCATTGTGGCACAGCAGGTTAGGCTGCCACCAGCAATGTCATCATCATGTACTGAACACCATTTTGATTCTGGTTGCTCCTTTGCCGATTCAGCTTTCTGCCAGTGCACCAGGCAAAGCAGCCGAAGCTAGCCTGAGTGCTTCTCCACAAAAGACCTTGGTGGAGTTCCTGGCTCCTGGCTTTGACCTGGCCCAGCCATCTGGGAAGTGAACACAGGCAGGGTGAGCTTGACAGAGTGAGCCCAAGGAATGCCTCCATGTGTGGTAAGCAAGGTAGAGCCAGAAGATTTTCCAGGGAGGAATGGTAGCATTGGCTTCCTCCTGGTATTTAAAGCCTGAGGGGCTTGTGAGGGCAAGGCTTGCTGGGCGAAACTCAGTCAATCAGAGAAAATGATAGGCTGGCATTCTATCAATGAAATTCAATCAAATAGAACCCTCCCTGATTAAAATCCCATCCAGTAAGTGTGCGGGCCTGCTGCACTAGTTGAATGGAACCTGAAGGAGGGAGTGAGAATGAAAAGAGGGACAAGGGCGCAGAGAATGGAGCCAAGACAACAAGGCTGATCAAGGCTCATTTATTCCAATGTCTCGGTGGTATTTATACATAACCAGCACAAAGAAGCACAAAAGATAACTACATACGTAAGCAACTTATCAGGCCTCTGGTAACACAGACAATTCTAACAGAGCATTCTTATTTATTTATTTATTTATTTATTTATTTATTTTGACAGGCAGAGTGGACAGTGAGAGAGAGAGACAGAGAGAGAAAGGTCTTCCTTTGCCGTTGGTTCACCCTCCAATGGCAGCCGCTGCAGCTGGCGCACCGCACTGATCCAATGGCAGGAGCCAGGAGCCAGGAGCCAGGTGCTTTTCCTGGTCTCCCATGGGGTGCAGGGCCCAAGCACCTGGGCCATCCTCCACTGCACTCCCTGGCCATAGCAGAGAGCTGGCCTGGAAGAGGGGCAACCGGGATAGAATCCGGTGCCCCGACCAGGACTAGAACCCAGTGTGCCAGTGCCGCAAGGTGGAGGATTAGCCTATTGAGCCACGGCGCCTGCCACAGAGCGTTCTTGATTACCACCCTCCTTCAGGATGGGAGTATGTGACTTTCTTGTCCCAAGAACTCCACAAGCCAAGACTGGCCTTGATTTGTCCAAAGGCTGCCCACAAGTAAGAACTGCCTATGGTATGCAATTCTGTTAAACAAGTTCCCTCACGCCTTAATTTGATTATCTTTTTCCATGAGTCCTGTGCATTGCTACAGGACTTGATTTTTTTAAAAGATTTATTTGTTTATTTGAAAGTCAGATTACACAGAGAGAGGAGAGGCGGAGAGAGAGAAAGGTCTTCCATCTACTGGTTCACTCACCAGTTGGCTGCAATGGCCAGAGCTGCGCAGATCCAAAGCCATGAGCCGGGAGCTTCTTCTGGGTCTCCCACATGGGTGCAGGGCCCAAGGACTTGGGCCATCTTCCACTGCTTTCCCAGGCCATAGCAGAGAGCTGGATAGGAAGTGGAGCAGCCAGGAGTCAAACTAGTGCCCAAGTGGGATGCCGACACTGCAGGTGGCAGCTTTATCAGCTACACCACCATGCCAACCTTAGGATTTGATTTTTGAAATCAATCTTTTCACATATTTACTGATTTACTTGCTACTTATTTATTTAGAAAGGCATAGGGGCAGCGAACAAGAGAGACAGACCCAAAGAGCCATCTTGCATCAGCTGGTTCTTTCCACTGCTTTCCTAGACCCATCAGGGAGCAGGATTCAAAGTCTACCAGTCGGAA